AAATTGATATCTGGTTGTATTAACAACAAAGCATTCTGACACTGAGAACACGTGAATAATTGAATCAAGAGGAAAGTACTCAAGAACACATTCTGATCCACGACCAAGACACCTAATGACAGACAAACAACCAAACTATCAAAACGTCAGTCCACGAGTCTACCTGAATTTCCTCGGTTTCGGAATCTGGGTCTCGACGGTGGTGGCTCTGCGCCTGTTCCTCGTCGGGCAGGAGACCCTCTAGCACCCTCGTCGTCTTCACCAGCAAGGTAAAAAAAAAAAAGTTAGCAAGGGAATGTAAATAGTACTGGGGTGACATTCCTCTTTGTAATAATGACATGTTGGCAATATTTCAGAGTCTCCTTTACTTTTTTTATAAGGATAAACAGATGCAAGACATACACGATCATGCTCACTACACAGAAAGCCATTTCCAAACATGACAAGTGAGCGACATCTTGAAGGAACACATGATATGCTTGAAATGTTTATATGTCTGAAGCAGCTATTTTATTTTGTTTGGCATAATTTTAAATTAATTTGCCAATTATTGTCTCTACGGAGTGTAACACACTTTATCATACAGCTCTATATTTCACACGTTTATAACTGTTTAAAGCATCACGTTAGACATGCATACATACATCAGACGTGTTGTGTGCCGACAACAAAGTTTAATCACTACCTAGTTAAAACTACCGATCAAGTATAAACTCAATCCGTCTCCCTAAGTCCACATATCTTCAGGAACGAATCCTACCTAAATCTAAGGAAGGAAGGACATGCGTTTATTTTCCTGTTTATCTGAAATGCAAAATCATTTCTTTACGCCATACATGAGACTATATGACGGCCATTCACCCTCGCCATTAAACTCTTCAGCCTTGTTTTACTAATACTCTACACATAGAGCAACGTGTGGACAGGCACTCACGTGTAGGGGTTTAAGGGACATGATTTAGCTCATCCTATGATACAGAATTTTTTATTTATTTATAGCATTATTAGTTACTTGGTTAAATGTTCGGTTACCATGGATAAATCAAAAATCAAAAATCAATCAAAAGATGCAACAGCTTCATTATAGTTAACATGCTTTTTTCTTCATCCACCAACTCTAAATAATGTATTTAGAGTACAGTATGAATTAATGATTACGTTTTAAAAGTTACTTATAAAACAAAAAGGTTATTTCACGGTTATTTTTGCAACGCCAAGACCCAAAGTGCTGACCAGGTAGAGATCGCATCTATCTCGTTAGGGAACTGATGCCAAGAATATCCATAAGTATAAATGTTGACATTGCAATTACATGACATTATAATAGTGATAGCCAAAACCCAGGCACATTTGGGTCTTCACGCTCTTTTCGAGTTGCTGGTTAGATGGTGAGGCTGTGCGACGCCTGGCATAGAACAAGGGCGAGCGAAGGGCAGGCACTTAGCCGACCAAAGAGCACCGATTGGGGTTCGTCGTCGAAGAAAGGCGACCGAGGAGTCTCTACGGGAGAGAAGCTATTGGAAGTGTCCTCTGGGGTCTCCATGCCTGTGTTTCTAGCCCAGGCGGAGGAGCGGCGGCGACTGCTGCGGCGGCGGCGGAGGATGGGGTCGTCCAGCGGATCTTCCACGTCGGGGAGTTGGCCCTCCAAGAGACTTAGGGCCTGACAGCAGCAGCAGTGACAACGGGTAATGCATTTTTTTGGTGGGAGGCAGGAAGGATAGTAATGTATTCCCAACAAACCTGTTAACACTCGGGATAACCACAGGGACTCAACTGTCAACTGCTTCTTTCACCCCCAGCACAAGGCGGGGTCCATGGATCTCTTTTCTCCCTAGACAAGAAGGGGACCTCCTCATGCACATTGTTAGAGGTCAAGATTGGTTCTAAGCTACTGGAAATGTGGGTTGAAGGCAAAATTAGAGAATACAGTGAAGAAATGAGTCAAAATAACTGTAGGAATGGAAATTACAGTATATAAGAACTCGTGGTGAAAATCAAGTAAGTATGTTGTTATTATAAAGCATTGCCCATAAAGGTATATATAAACTCTATATTTGATATTAGTGCACATATATATTTGTTAAGTGGGTTAAAATGTAAAGAAAAGTATGGGTACCATACTGTAAATAACATCAAAACATCTTATGAGGAAAATTTGCAGAATAATAAACGCTGACACTGAAAATATATAGTAAAAATCTAAAAAAAAAGGTAGAATATTAGAACTCAATAATAAACTAACCTGCACCGATGTCCGGAACCCGACATTTCGCCCTGACCACACGCAGAAAGAAAATCACAAAATTCACACCAGAACACGAAGGAAACGTTCCATTACCTGAGAGATAACGTTCACTTGAAGAACAGGCAGACACAGCTGGAGGTTCTGTTTGGCCCAAGTGAATATTTTGAGGAAGTTATTCGAGAACAGGTCTGTGACGACTGAATGCTCGTGATGAGGGCGTGTCCGGAGCCATGCCTGGAGAAGCGGCTCCCAGTCCAAGCCGGAGGAACTCATGTAGACCTAAGATGAAAAACAAAAACAAAACAACACGAACTGAATGAAAGTGTGATCGAAAAAAAAGAAAAAGCGGGAAGCAGTTACGAGTTTGTATTGGATTACGAACCGTCCAGTTTAGAGTGAATTATAATGAAATGCGAATCGTTCAGATTATAATGACTCGTGGGTCATCCGTGTTGTAGTAACACATGAGGCCTATACAATAAACCTCGGGTCTTCTGAGTGACACTTGAATCATCTGATAATAGTAAATCAAGAGTCATCCTGGTTTAGTGAATCAGTTTGAACTATATCTTCATCAGAAATATATACATTTCCGTTAAAGATACAGCAGAAGATATTCAGTGTCACTCGTACCTTTTTTTCTAGCTGTGTTACACCCAACGCCATTTAACAAAGAAAAGAGAAAAATAGAAAACAAGATATGGAAGGAAATAAAAAAAACGGGAACAGAGGATAATGTAACCTGTAAAATTTCCACTAATATGTAAAATCTGTAAAATTCCCACAAATCTTAAAACTACACAAAAATACCACAAATTAAAAATCTATAAAATTTCCAAAAATCTAATAATATCTGCAAAATTCCCATACCTGTAAAATTGTAAAATTCCCACAAATCTAAAATCTATAACATTCCCACAAATCTCAACCTGTAAAATTTCCACATATCTATAATCTAGAAATCTGTAAAATCTGTAGAATTCCCAGAAATCTCTAAAATCAGTAACATGCCCACCCATCTCGAAAATCTATAGAATTCCCACAAATCTCTAAAATCTACAAATTTCCCACAAATCCCTAAAATCTACAAATTTCCCACAGATCTCCACCGTCTCTAAAATGGCCACGAGACCTCCACTACCACCACAACCACCCACCATGCCATTCCTGGACACCGTCGACGGGGACGCGTTGTCGATATTCGCCGGCTCGAAGATGACCTTGCAGCACGGGGACATCGGGATCCTGTCACCGTTGGCCAGCGTCAGGGTCTTGTTGTCATCCAGGACGGAATTCAGGTTCTCGATCCATATGGCGTCGACGGGGCCATCGAGGACCAGCCAGATGTGCTCTCCTGGAACGGTGTGGTTATTGGGTATCGGCTTTTGTTGTCGAGGCCTGTTTGATTTATTTATCGTAGTTATTTTTTTATCTTTGACTATTTTTTTTATTTTATTTAGTAGGTTTTGTTGGTTGATATATGAAGACTTTGCTTTATTTAAAAGGATTTCAAGGTTTCGTTGGAGTGATTAAAATAAAAGGGTAGTTTTAGTGATATGTTAGTCTTTATGAAGAAGATTTTTAGGTTTTCAAGAATTCAGTTATCTTTCGTTCAGAATATTTGTCATATTTTATATGTAGATTTATTCACCCTAATTGTAAGGATTAATTTTGCTTTTCTTCGAAAGATTTCTTCATACGGAGAATTCACAAGTTTATACCCAGAGTATTTATCATGCTATATATAACGGACTTAACAGCTAACAGTTTCCACTTGCAGGCTCCGTATCAACATCAACTCATCCTCGTGCACAAGGAAGAGCCTCCTACCTTTCTTGGCCTTGAGGGTCTTCCTCCAGAGGGTCGAGAAGATGCCATCCGTCCAGTCGTTCGTCGCCACGTCCAGTCGCCCGAACATCTGCGCCGACGTGATCGCCTTCGGGTTCATCCGCAGCTCTCTGCTCACCACGAAGGGTCATTGCCATTCATCATTATTAATATTATTGCTGTGATGATGATGATGATTATCATATTCCTTATTTTTATTATGATTATTACTATCATCTTTGTTATTCTTATCACTACAACTACTGTTAAGAACATCGCAATGGCACATCATCATCTTTATCACAACCATCATCATATTAAAATATACTGTTACTGTCGATTGCAACAGAAGCACTGACTGATTCCAACTGAAGCACTTTCATTACAACTAGTATCTCACAAAAAGCACGCAGTTACCATACATGACCTGAAAGCATACTCCAAAATACATCTTTCTCTTTGCCATTTCCCATGTTGATATGAGGTTGGCATAATTCAAAATAAAGCACAACACAAAAGTATACAAAAAAAAAAGAAAAATCAAGCGAAAGAAGAAATCAGAGAGAAGTGCGTAAGTCAGGAGAGAAACCCTGGAGAGATTAATGGACTGATTATTTAAAATACTAAAATATCTAAAACTTATCTAAAATCTAGCAAGAAATAATGTATCTTATAAGTAAAAATAAATAGCAATAAAAATCATATTAGAAATCAAAGCATAAACATAATACTTTAAAAGTATAACATTGTTGAATGAATAGTATTCATTATCATTTTTTTAAGTATTAGTCTCCCTCGGGAACTAATAAGACGTATGTCACAATCCTCCCCAATACATTTTCATTGTATATATGAGGAAGACGAGTACATACGTTTTTGGTACGAGAATAATGCACATCTTTCCAGTACATGTGCGGGAAAGACCTAAGCCTTTGGTTCAAGGACATTCTGTCTAGCAGCGGAGGTCCCTGTTTATGCGGCGACAGCTGGAGTTGTCACCGCTGAGGCCTCTGGAGCCTTGCCTGATAGTTCCTTACTTTGGGAGGAGGAACCTTCTCAACAGATCTCTCACTCCTCCGCCTCTGGTGAACCAACTCACCAGAGGTAATTTCAGTATTTGAGGATTGAGGTCGACTGTAGTGGCAGAGGGAGTGGTGCAAGAAGTATTGGTGGTTAAGGGATGACGAAAAGGAGGCCGGAGACGAGGCAAAGGACTTACCTGACTGTACGAACAGCACACGACCACGGTGCTTTGCTTCTGGAAAACTAACTTTCTCTTGGTTCCTCATTACTAATACTTCTTTTTCAAATTTGTACCTGTCACACTGCTTTCAAGAAGCTACATAAGGGTCTTTGCAGTGATAACAGCACACGGGACCTGGACAATTGTCATCTCCTTAATGACCTTTTGTACCACATTTTACATGCACTCTCGGTAGTCCAAGCAAGAGTTGCCTCCGTGTCCATAACCCTGGCAATAAAAGCACCGCGAAGGGATGGGTACATATGGCTTTACCTTGAGATGGTACCATGCCAACTTTACTGATTCTGGAAGGACTAACGTTTCAAACGTTAGAAGAAGAGCCAAGTGTCAATTGTTCTACACCATCATCTTTCTTCTTAAAATGCTTTACTGGTTCTACCTTAAACTTCTTAAGTTCTTCTAACAGTTTCTCATCAGAATAACTCATCGGGAAAAGAAAATTCCCTTGCATTGATTGTTTTGTGCGAATATGAACCGTGAACCCCAGGAATGTCAGATATCGCACGCAGACGTCACTCTTGCCTGGTGACGAAACTTCGACCATAAGGCTACCATCTCGCTGTGGGGTGATCCGAGCATCATGTTGACGCACCTCAACTATCTTGCGATGCACTTCAAAAATGCCAATAAATACCTTGTCTTCACGACAAGGTATTTATTATATGAAATACTTTTATATTTACCAGGTAAGACTTCCTTGACGCTTTGAGGAGGACCCTGGAGAGAAGTGCGTGCGTCGGATAAGAAAGTAGAGAGAGAAGTGCGTGCGTCGGACGAGAAAGTAGAGAGAGAGGAGTGCGTGCGTCGGAAAGGAAAGTAGAGAGAGAGAAGTGCGTGCGTCGGATAAGAAAGTAGAGAGAGAGAAGTGCGTGCGTCGGAGAGAAAGCACAGAGAGAGAGGCGGTCGCATCTGACCTGTGCGGCTGGCCCATCTTGGTGAGGGCGCGCATGAGGACGTGGATACAGGAGGTCTTTCCGGCGCCGCTCGGACCCAGCGTCATCATGCCGTGGCGGACTCGCTGCGTCTCGTAGAGCTGCGAGGGAGGGCGTGTTAGGGGCTGGGCGGGGGCTTTGCTTGTTGAGGGGGGGGGGGGTTAGTTATATACACTCGCACGAAGTCACACGCACGCACGTATACATCCATACACACATATACATTTACACATATAGGCACATAAACACACACACACACACACACACACACACACACACACACACACACACACACACACACACACACACACTCACACACGTATACACGATATACAAACGTGAGCGTTCCATATTTACACACACAAACGATACACCAAAATCATTTATAAGTTGAGAAAGACAACAAAGAAAAATAACCGAAACCATCAAAAAATCAATGAATTTACCTGAATGAGCTTGAGCTGCCACGGCGGGTGATTCACCAAGCCGAGCTCACAGACGAGGTCCGCGATGGTGGTTGTGAGCTGGTTGTAATAACCTTTCTCCTGCGTCATGCTCGGAAACAGGTCATCGATGAGCGACATAAACAGCGGCTCGTCTTCGTCTGCAAGAATTAGCGAAGGAAAATCATCATAAAAGTCGTTGTGTTCCAATTTAACACCCGGTGATGTGGAAGTTTGTTTTACCTTAATATAAATAAATGAATGTGGATAATGACATGATCATATCCAATAAAAACTATGCATTATCACTACCCATGTATTCTATATCACCCTTTTCTTTATATTTTCTTCAAATAGTATAAAAAAACAAAATAGATTAGTAAAAAAGCAAACAATCTTACCAACAAGTTTAGATAAATTCATGTCTCTGAGAACCCTCATGACGATGGTAGATTCGGAGTCCTTAGCATTGGCTCGCTTCGCTGCCCCAAGAGTGCGAAGGACAGACAGGATGTTCCTCAGGCCGAAGTCATAGTGGACCTGCGGGGGTGAAAGACAGTTATGTAGCTGGGAGATGTGTGTGGTTTTCTCTGTTTCTTTTAACTTTTTATCTTTTCTCTTTCCTTGTTTCTTTATCTCTCTAACTCGTTCTCATTGTCTGTCTGGTTCTCTCTCTCTGTGTCTCTCTCTGTGTTTCTCTCTCACTCTGTCTGTCTGTCTGTCTGTCTGTCTCTCTCTATGCCTTAGTCTCGGTCTAGTCTGTTTGTCTGTCGGTCGTCTTCCATCTCACACTGTTTAGCTATTTATTTATTACCTTTTCATCCGTTCTCTATATTTGTATAACCAACCCGTCTCGTTTTCGGCCTCCACGGAATCTCTTCAAGGATAACATAAGTTTGAAATCCTTCCAGACTGAACCATCCATTTCCAATGCATTCAATCCAACCTAGTAATTCATATCCTCTTCACCAACGCAATACACACACACACACACACACACACACACACACACACACACACACACACACACAGAAAGAGAGAGAGAGAGAGAGAGAGGGGAGAGAGAGAGAGAGAGAGAGAGAGAGAGAGAGAGAGAGAGAGAGAGAGAGAGAGAGAGAGAGAGAGAGAGAGAGAGAGTGAGAGAGAGAGAGGAGAGAGAGAGAGAGAGAGAGAGAGAGAGAGAGAGAGAGAGAGAGAGAGAGAGAGAGAGAGAGAGAGAGAGAGAGAGAGAGAGAGAGAGAGAGAGAGAGAGAGAGACCGAAAAAGAAAGAAAGAGAAAGATATCTAGACACATAAAAAAGAATCGACATTATTTAAAAAGTAAATGTGTAAATGGTGTAAAGTATTGGAAAGCAAAGAATGAGGTACGATTCGGATGAGATAGAGGAAACGAAAAGTAAAGCACAAACACGCACACACACCCACACAAAAAAAATCATAAAAGCAGAAACCAAACAAACAATGAAACTTGCCTGCTTCGTCAGCTGTTCCTCGCACAGCTTGTACAGCGTGAAGAACTTCCTCGCAAGGGTGATGTTCTCCAGGAAGCCACAGGACGCGAGCTTCACCCGGATGATGATCTGTCGGTCGGGCACCATCATGGCCACGTTTCGGAACTGGATCTTCAGGTTCTCCGGGAGTTCTTGCCTGCCGTGATAGCCCAGGTTCTGAAGGCGCAGACGCAGACGAGGACGAAGACAAGAGCGAAGACGGTGATGAAGATGAAGGCGAAGACGTAGACACAGTTAAAGGCGATGGCATAAAGGAAGACGAAGACGAACACGTATACGAAGGCGAAGACGAAGGCGAAGACGAAGACGAAGACGAAGACGCAGGCGAAAACGAAGGCGAAGACGAAGACGCAGGCGCAGACGAAGGCGAAGAACCCGAAGACACGTGCGTTGCGGGAGCGAAGGAATAGCACGGCGGTGGTTTTCAGGGGGGTGGGGGGAATAATGAGTGATTATGCATTCTAATAACTCTATGATCTTTCTACATACAGCATGCATTAGTCTTCATATGTGAAGCACCTTCTGGAAAAAAATATATATCTTCCTTTGGGAAATAGCTCTCCCATTTCAAAAAAAAATATTTCGTTGAAAAAAAAAATCTTCCTGGAATCAAAAAATCGTTCGTTCAGGTAAAAAAATGTCATAGTATTTTTTCAAAAAATCACCAGAGGAAAGCATGCAATGCAGTATACATTATTTACTCCACAGCTATGTATAATACAAGTGTATAGAGAATCCAGTCTGTCTGTTCTGTTCCATCTGTAAGCAACATTCAGTAAAAACTACTGAAAAAAATCTACATAAATCATCTACAACCGATTCTCCGTAATATATACAATGTGATTGTGTGCACTACTGATTAAAAAATACACTCCGTTAAAAAAATACAAGTTTATAAATTTTAAAACAGCTGAGCAGAGACTCATTTCACGGTGTTCAATGCGGGTGGATTGATGTTCAAAAGATATTCGTGTACTTAAGACAGAGAAGACAAGAATGTATGCTAAAGAACGGTTTGCGGTGACATACGTGGCGCTGATAGATGGATTAAATCAATTTTGTGAACCTTAGAGTCATGTTCAAAGCGGTCGTGTCGAATGTTGTGGATCAAGACAGTGTTCAAAAAGTAAATAGAACTCGAATAATGTGGTGTAAAGTATTGGAAAGCAAAGAATGAGATACGATTCGCGCGCGCGCACACACACACACACACACACACACACACACACACACACACACACACACACACACACACACACACACACACACACACACTCCAGACGCGTACACAAACCCCCATAAACACAGGGAATGATAGAGTAAATAAGAAAATGTATACGCACTTTTATCACAAGTAAAAATATTACCTTAAATGCTTCAGCGCGTTTTTTCTGTTTCACAAAAGAAACGCAGTCAATGAATATACAAAAAAGTGACAGCATATTTCATCACAATTTCCAATCAATTTAAACATTCTATTATTTGGGAAAAAAGAGACAACAGTTCATCATGATAAATGTATCATTATAAGTCAACTATAAAATAATGCAGAAAAAAAATGTGAAGTGATTCTGGAAGAAGTGGAAAGAAGCTCAACATGTCGGAAAAAAAGTGTCGTGGGGTGCGGGGAATTACCTGCATATCGGTCCTCATATTCTGTTCAAATTAAATAAGAAAAAAAAAAGAGGAAACATAACTAAGCATTCCATTCAGTTAGGAATGTAACTTCATACTAATCCTGAAAGAAACATCTCGATAGAACAACTACTGAAGTTTTCTTGGAAGAAATGACTTTTTTTTTCTTATAATTCTTTAGACTCGTTGATATTTTTTTCTAAATATTTAAGACAGCAGTAACAGCGGCAGATATAATGCTTTTGACTTCATAACGTCTATGATATGACTATATATGATAAAGACTTAATTATCATTATTTTTATCATAAATCTAAATGTCTGTACATATTACTGTTAGTACAACAATCCAAATAAAAACAAAACAAAAAAATATGTACATAGGTTAAGTTATCAGTACAAGTCATATTTACGTTTGTATTATTTTTCTACAAATATTTACAAGTGCCGTAAAAGTAGAGGCTCCCAAACAAGTAACTGGGCTGAAAAAAAGGTTCTTAGTAAAATTAGATCGCTTATCTTCACTATCGGAATCTACTGAAGTGATCTTATTGCTAAACTGGCTGTTCCGTGTCGTTTGAGATAAGCGAGAGAAGCTTCAAGACATTTTTCACTTTGATTGATAATAATAATTAAAAAATCGAAATATAGACTGTACTACGATACTTCCCTAAAATTTGGTAATCATATTTGTAAAGGAAATCGTCTCTAATTCTATTATGATGAAGGCAGGCCAAGTTTATAGTGTAATTCACGTTTGGGAGCCTCTACCATTACGCATTACAGGTACCTCAGTTAAGACGAAACAATTTCATTACTGACAATTCATAGACTTGGTTTAGACTTTGATTTGGACAAGAATGTGTGTATTTATTGAACTCTTATCTCTGAACATAATTTAAACAAATACATAATTAAGTGATTCCACAACAAAACTAATATTTACCATACAAGTCTATAAATTGCGCGTCAAACATACAGTAACATTTTAAATATATTACAGGGAATGTATAGCAAATCCAGCTACCAAGCCTAATACACCGTTTCTCTGAGTAGAAATTGCTATCTTGAATTTAACAAAAAACAAAGCACATGTTGCCACAGACTCCAGGTTAACATGTCTTTGTAAATCACGAAAGGGTGACTTTATAGCGTGACGCCAATCATCAGTTTTCCGAGGATTCACTCAATCCACAGGTGATCATCGGCGATAAGCTTTATCGTTTAAATATCAGCAATCCATCCAGAACCAAGTAATGTTGCATTCTATGAGGTGAACTACTAGGTTGAGTCGCAAGCGCGGACTGTATAAAAAAAAAAGGTGCTGAAGATGATGTTTGTTATTACTATGTATGCAGAGATATACATATGGTCGCGCGCGCATGTGTGTGTATGTGTGTGTGTCAATTGCTTCCTCTGATAGCACTGGTGCATGTACTTCGCTGTGTTTGTGCTATCGTTCGTGGTGTTGAAACCTCGAATGGATTGCTCATATCAGCTTCTGCTTGTCTTAGCGTCAGAATAAATGTGTCTAAAACCCATAATTGTGGGCCACTGATATGTTTCATATCAATGAGATCCTTTTTAAGGCTTCCAGTGAAGCATTTATTCTGGCAGGGGTCTAATTAAGCATTTTTAAACTGAGCAACGCATTTAAAAGCCTTCAGAGGCAGAAGCACCACAGTTAAAACGAAACCACTGTTACCATAAAACACCATCAGCTGGAAGGCCACAGACAACAGAAAAGAAAAAAAGAGGTTACCAAACCTGTGACATTTCATAACTTACTAAAATTATCTGAAAATATCTTCAAGGTATATTGATATAAGATATAACTGAAAGCAAAGAGATAAAATTGTGGATACTGGTGATCAAAATTCTCTAAAGACATTAGTAATTTATACCAAGACCTACATACATATCAAATAATGAAACCATGTACACGGATATGAAGTTCATTATGCTAACTACTCCCTGGCCAATTTCAGGAAAGAAACAACTGGAAACTCACCCTGGTACTACGTTTCGCCAAATCTCTTTTTTGTGAAAATTATAAAGTATTTGAAGGCAACAAGTTTCGTAAAATAAGAAAATTGTATATAAGTTTTAAACATGCAAAACATATTAAGTGCCAGCTGATAAAACACAGAGATTAGGCGGTAAGGAATAACTTTAAGAGTCCAGGTTAGTTTCCCATTTCCCCTCTTGATATTGGACAAATTTTAGCACCAAATGCAAACCTTACTATTATATTTCAATTCAAATGTCTGTTACTCATTCATACCTTGGTTACATGTACTCTATACACTCACCTTCCTCAGGACTAACACATCGACTCATGAAAATGCCAGTAAAATATCACTTTCCCTTCACATTCATACGTACTGTATAGTTATTAGAAACTAACATTATCACTGACACCACGAAATTAATGACACCTAATTAATCTTACTTTTTCATCCGCAGACTATTATCATTAATGATGATGACATTTGAAGACTTATAAAGAATAAGTCAACGATGGATAAGAACTAACAAATTGATGAATGATTTAACAATAATGATGTATGGGAAAAATGATCATATAATATCGCTAGGTCTACGTGCTGCAGATATTCAACCTATACGATAAACATTACTAACG